CTGGCTTGAAGGTGCCTGGTTCATTCGTGAAATCCTAAGATATGCCCTGACATTGAAACTAATAATAGTGAAGCATTTCGTCCTTCACATGCATAAGTATCGTCGTATATAGAAGAAGAAGTCGTCTTCGATGAATCTCCTGTATCAACATTGTTGTGGATACTTTCATTTTGCAGAAAAATGCATGATACAGATGTTCGTAGATTGATCGCATCAGAAGACAACGCCTGATTCCTGTCGTCATGCCGCACTTTGGCTTAAAATGGCATTCAGGTTGGCACAATGCATCTTATTTCGGGTAGAAACAGGCTGGACTTTCGTCTATCATATGATGGACATCATCAGAACTAAAGCTCATTCTTTCAAAAGCCTCAAGTGAAAATAAAATCAAATATTTTTCGTGTTTAAGGAGAGTTTCGAGACTACCAGTAAATCAGTAGTATGACATGTATCCACCCTATTTCGTTTACACTGATGAAGGAATGGTAGTACAATTTTAACACAATGATATGAGTAGAGCTGACGTTCCCAATGAATTTCACATGGCATTGCTTTCCGAAAAGTTGTTCCCATCCAGGCACCAGTGGACTGCAATTTCGACCTCGCATCGGTCTTAGCAACACCCCCAGCGGGAGTCGAACCGTGACATTTGAAATTCAATAGAAACGTCAGGTCTACTCATATCATTGTGGGAAAATTCTACTACCGGTCCTTCATCACCTTGAACGAAATAGGGTTAATACCTCTCATATAAAGTCAAAAAGACTGAGCAGCCTATCCAACATGCTGTATAGACACAACCAAAAAATATTTAGATATTGGATAGTTTTGTTCTTTCTCCCATACTCGAGTATGTGTGCGTAAGTTTGTGTGTTAACGTCAGCCCCGGATCGCCAAAGCTTAATGGTCAAAGGAAAAGTATCACCGAGATTGCATAAGTCCGTAAGTAATCCAGGTTAATTGGTGAAATTTAAGCTTGCTAACGTGACTTTCAGGCTACTATGCCACCATTAGAGGGTAGCAACAACTCATATAGAAATATATGCGAAGAAAAGTTGGGCTTACTTCCATTTCGAGTGAAAGTGTTTGGTGAAAATATTCGAAGGTAGATTCCACCAGAAGACGACGGCGGAAACCTGTTGACCAGCTGTTGATTGGCTTTAGTGGAACATACTCGTTGTCAAGTGTCGATGAGTTTTCTTGATTGGTTGGCTTTAATTTGGTTGTGACGATGATACCCTGCTCTGATGATGTTCGTCAAATGACGGACGAGAGCTTAGCATCTTTTCACTGGAATTGAAGAAGATTGCCTCAGAAACAGCGTCAGCATGTTTCAGTAAAGCCAATCAACAACTAGTCAAGAGGAATCTTCCGTCGTCTTCTGGTGGAATCGAACTTCAAATCTCTTCACCAGACACTTTCACTCGAAATGGAAGTAATCTCAACACTCATATGCAATACCAACAGTCATTAAGGTTTAATGACACAAGAAAAACCATGGCTTGGGTTGCGTAGTCTCATGCGTCTGGTTTGTCTGATGAGCTTAGTCTAACATGTTGAAAGACTGTGGGTGTGGTTGGAACCCTCACTGAGTGGGAAAGTTAGGTCTTCTTCCTTTAATCTTTAAATAAAGCACATGCTTTACCCCTTATTACATTCAATATAGTCCATACTCTATTGATTCCAATGGGCTCTCTTCTCCCCCTTTTAACATAAGATATACCAACAATCACAAACCCTCTGCATGTGAGGCCATTTTCTTTCGTGTCCAGTTTCTGCTCTATTTCAACCAGCACTACTTATATTACTACTTACACAATCTCGGTTATGCTTCTCTTCGGTTACTTAAGTCTTGATGAATCTGAATTGGGGTTAGGCTCTCGCCTACTTACTCTGAGTTATGATCGGTATTTCGTACACACACCAACCCACTAACAAACACACACACATACACAGAACAAACCAAACCATCATTTTTTTCGTTATGAGTATACATGGCATGTAGGATAGAGCCGGTCAATATGCTTGACCTGTTGTTGACTTTAGACATTTGCAAGAATGAGTCGCAGCCTTGATGATGTGCGTCATATGATGGGCGAAATCTCAGCCTCTTTTAACCCGAAACTAGGGAGGATGCTTTATGGGCTGAGTCGACTTGAATGTCGCATTAAAGCGAAATGGCTGCGTAACAACGGGACTCAGCCGCCGTCTTCAAGTGATATCGGCCTACGGATCTCTTCATCATACACTTTCATGTACGTAAATTATCCTTATTTTACATTAGTATCCATACAGAATGTTGAGTCAGTCTCCGTCAATCGGCATCAGAATGAGGTTGCAGTGTTGACGCTAAAAAGTGGCGGCAATTATCGGTCTCTGAAAGTAACCGCCCTCAACCTTAGTCCTGCCTCGAATGAGGCCGGAACCAAAATACGGCCAAAGGTACATTCCGCCTTCGGTGGAATCGCACAATTGAGACAAAAAGCAAAGACAACTTGATTGGCAAAAGAAGACATCCTTTGCAGGGCATCACAGAAGCTTCTATTTCAAAGCGGAAAAGCGCCGAAAGTTAGTTAAAGACAACTTTTCCCTAATACTTTTGGGCAAAGCTATTGCATCAGGGATTCCGGAATGCTATTGCCAAGACTTTATCGACCAAGAGTTCCCGAGTAAATGGAAAATTGGGAATGGAGATTGTGATTCAACTGCCAGCGTTGCTAAGCAATCAAGTCATCCTTGATTTACTCTACCATTTGTCCCAATCTTTTCTGTTAAATGACACTTTAAGAAAGTGATACGATTAACAAGTTAATGCTATGGGTTTATGGACCATAAAGTTTAGTTAATTGTTTTCAAAATGGCCTTAATTATTTATCTCTTCCAGACAAAATACTGGGCGCCACGTGCCTTCTTGGAGGGCAGTAGTGTATAAGCAATGCTGTCCTCATTTTTCTTGGCCAACTACTAGCATTACACAAGAATGGCTATTAATATTTTCATTATTATTAGTATTGTTATCGTTATTATTATTATT